TCCTTCGTTGTCGTTGCATAACAATGAAAACCCGAACGTTCCTAGAGTACGGACTCAAATGCCAGCAGTTTTCTTCATTTTTCACACTCGAGCTTGAAATTATTCATTATCTGACACTCTTTATGAGTTCTATGATATCAGTGGTTAATATGTTTGGCCATTTTTAGTGTATATTTATAATAATGCAGCAAATCTACAGTGTTTTATTAACCAAAACTGTTTTTCGCGTTTTTCTCGAGTTGAAGTTTTGATCGAGTACGACTCATTGGGACCGCCGCCAAATCAAGTGCGTTCGGACTAGGACATTCAAACTCGCAGTTATCGTTCAAAAGATAATGATGGTGCGAAATATGTCTGGGTTTTTAAAGAAAATGCTTTGTCACAGAATAATAGTCTGTTAAAGGTGCCAAGTATGAAATAATTTAAGGACAAAAAAACAAACCTGCATAGAAATCGGAATAATAGCTCTTTTGATTATCGGAGACGCATTTCAATGGACTTGATTACGGACAATGCATGACGTAAATATCACCAGGAAATTCCGCAGTGTGCTCTCGCAATCGCGGACTTGGTCATTTTTACAAGGTTCGCCATTTTTTATGTCACGTGATAATTATGTAAACAATGACTGTCCAGTTTGTGCGAACTTGTACCTCTATACTTAGTCTTTTGATATATATAACATAAATTACTGTTCTGAACGAGACAACAGACAAAGAATGTTTTATTTAAAAACGTCACAAAACCCTTCTCGCTACCTTAAAGATTTTTGCTGATAAACAAATAAACTTATCAAATTAAATAAAATTACAATAGAACTAACTAGATAAATTTGTAAATTTAAAACCTAGTTAATATACAGCAAAATATCAAATAGCGAAATTTTGTAGACACAATAATTGTTCACTTGGTTATTTCCATACTTGTTTGTAAATCACTAGAATAAGACCCAGTGAAGTATATATTTTCACCAGGGTTCAAGCTATTTAAAAATGTGTTTTATATTTCTGTATCTACGTTTTTTATGTGTGACATGATCACGTATAAAATATTACTTTTTCTGAAAACAAATAAATTACATAATTATGCTTGTGCTAAGAAGCTGTTTTTTTATGTTTCCTAGTAGTGCACAAGTCTATTAAATTGAATGCATCACAGCAGTTGTATCCAGGCGTTGTGGTTTAAAATGTAACATACTGAATTCCAGGATTCAGTTTTAGTTACATTGCCCCAACTAAACTATCACACATTGAAAAAAGAAAAATAACCTATGAATAGTTTCCCTGGACACATTAAAGTTTCTCTCATTGTCACCTTAAAGCTGAGCATATTTGGTGTTAATCCGATGGCACAAAGCATAAGCTATTTTTTTGTTAAAGACCTCATAATTTGAAAAACTCCTAGAAATCGTTGATGAAGTTACTGCTATGATTTTAAAGCCTGATTTATGTACAGTTTCCTGGTTTTTATTTATTACTTCAAAGTAATCATTTGCAATAAAATTAACAACAACTTACCTAAAACTGGTAAATGATCTCGATAGAAAGTGCCTCCTTTGGCATCACTAACAACTTTCAAGTCAGACTGGAACAAACAAAATGAAATCGATATTAGTAAAATGCATGTAAAAGCCAACCAATATATACCAAAAACAACATCAAAACTAATTTAGAAAAATAGGTTAAAGAAAAATTCTTCATGATAATAAATATGAGCTATTAGAATATATTTAATTCCTATTGATGAACATTTCCAGTAAAAGAAAACATTTCTGCAAAAGTTCTTATCTTGATTCTTATCTCACCTAATTAACTTCAATACATACATTCATGTAATAATGAATATTAAACATTGATACTATAGGCTCATATCAAAATGTATACCTTAAAAACTCTATAATTTTGAACAATTTTAAATATTTTTTTTTTGGAAGTCGAATTTTCAGACTCACAAAACCACAAAAAATTATAAGGTGAACGAAATTTCGGAGGAAATATTCAACATTTTGGAATAACATGGGAAGCTTTTTGGGTTTCTTAAAAAGTGGAATAAACAACGATAGTAAGAACAAATTTGTTTGAAATAACGCGCGGTAAGTGTTCATCTAGGGGTCACGACCTACATGACCTAATTTACACTAGAGTGAAATAAAAACAAGCACGTAACGGCGTGTAAATAAAATTTACTAAATTATAGACCTTAGAAAAGATTACATTTTGGGCGATCAATGAAATTTTTAAATGTCCTTTTTTTAAAGTAGTCTTACAGTTATTGATAGAGTGCCACTGTCATTACAGTATCTGCAGTTATTGAGTTAATAAATAAATAAAACTGTTATTGTTGGTATGAATTCATCAAGATGTAAATCATTGAAAAAAATGAAACTTTACTTTATTCAAAACAATAAACTTTGATTGTAACAGTATCTCTTTTTGGAAAATGTGGTGGCCCCGAAAAGGGCCATTTGATTTGTAAAGCAAATGCAGAAGTCATTACCGAATGTCGGTGAACCCCTCGAATCTAGGCTCTAAGTCGTCATCAGGGTCGTCCAAGATGTTGGTGACAGTCTGTTTAGTGTGTGTGAGGCTATCCTCACTGCCATCTAGTGCATTGGATATGCAGATTAGCGGATGTCTGGGCGGATGTGTACCACTCCGTCCCAAATGTGTTAGACTGGTATTACCGGACGCTGTCTTTTGGAAAATCACTGCGGTGAAATTTTGGCGGTGTTTACGTGGGGAAAATACACTGCGAAGTCAAATAAGTGTTAAAGTTGGGAGCTTGCGAGCTTAGTTTCCTATTTATTTACTTAATCTTTGTTTTATTCCACACCGAGTGTTTAAAATGCATGGGAGCTAAGCTTGACCGATGTAAAACCTACTCAAAGACACCCGGCTCATTACAGCTCCCTGTGGGGACATTCTGCTTTCTCTGCTGTAATACGTAAACCCGGACATTACTCGTTCTAGTAATAATCATAATGTACTCTTCGGTTGCCCCAGTCTGTAAATTTTGTCTTATTTTATTTTGTTGTAGGCCTACACGTCACGCAGTCACATTTATTGTAAACACCTCACTGGGGCCCCATGGTGACACAAGTCAAGCGTCTAAGCAATCACAGAACCGGATTCACGCAATGGGGGCTGTCCTTTGTTTTATATGTTTTTCTCAATGACCGGCAAAAACGTTGCGTCCGATTTTATTCTGGATCGACATTTTTAAGAGCAAATACAAACTGTGTTGGTTATTTGAATAAACCTTTTTTCAAAAGCAAATACAAACTCTGATGTTGTTTTATTAAATAATAAATTTCATAGAGATAACAATAAATACATGCGACGTAAATGTAATTTTAGTTCAAGCAAATTACGTGGAAGCAAACCTGACCTCGCTCACACTCACACTCAACGAGTACAGGAGTACAGAACCCCATAATCTGACAGGGTTGGTGCGAATTAGCAAAACTTCTGGGATATGAAAGTTTGCACGAATTTTTAGAGTCACCAAAAACAGTTATTTCCGGGCAAGGTCAAAATTTGGCAACCAAATTTTTAGAGTGGTCGTAGAGTTTTTACGGTAATAGTAAAGATTCATTTCCAAAACATGGAACAGAAATTCACAAATTAGCTTTGAAATAGAGACACACACCAAATAAATCTGCATAATTTTTTCAAAAAAATATTATCAAGACCTGCAGAAACTGGGAAATTATATCCATTTAGATTAAAATTAATAATGAAATTATAGGAAAATACATAAAAAATGTTAGACCAAAATGTGGTCTAATGGATTGTGGTGATGAATTTCTAACAGATACTGTAAAACACGTCTTTTTCACAAGCATGTCTTTTTAGCAAATTTAGCAGGAGAACTGAGTCGCTAATTCAAGATGTCGCTAATGATTTTATTATAAATTCAAAATGGCCAAGGCTTGGGATTTGTATACAGTAATCCAGGACATAAAAATCTGGGGTGCTTCCTAACACTTAACAGTTTTTCTTTGTTTTATGGAGGTGATAATTGCCCATTTGTTTTGGCACGCAACAGAAAGTATTGTGAAAACAGGAAATCAAAAATGACAACAGAGATTCGCTAAATCAACATTTCGTTATTACGTCATTTTACCACAATTTGCTAAAATTGCATGTCGCTTTTTAGCTCCGCTGTCGACTTTGTCAAGCGGAGCTTATCATATGAGTGATTGTCTGTCGTCGTCCAGTGTCCGATTGCTTTGATATTAAATGTATAGGTACTACATGTGGACCTCTCTCAGATTTGTTCATTTCATTGATGATATCTTTAATTCTCTAATTTTGATGAATATTTTTGTAATTTTTGGTAAAAAGTTATATTTTCGACTTCTTGTTGAAAACCGCAAGTCCAATTGCTTTGATATTAAATGTATAGGTACTACATGTGGACCTCTCTCAAATTTGTTCATTTCATGATCATATCTTCAATTCTCTAAGTTTGGTGAATATTTTTGTCATTTTTGGTAAAAAGTGATATTTTTGACTTCTTGTTAAAAACCGCAAGTCCAATTGCTTTGATATTACATATATAG